GTGTGAGTATACAGTGTGTGTACACACATGCACAAAGGTCTGTGCCTCTTACTGTGTGTACATGTGTACAGTGTGTGTACACATATACATGCACAGATACACATGCAGGTCTCTGTTCCTTAATATGGGTGCATGTACATGTATACAGTGTGTGTACACACATACATGCACATATACGCAGGTCTCTGTTCCTTAATATGGGTGCATGTACATGTATACAGTGTGTGTACACACATGCATGCACATATATGCAGGTCTGTGTTCCTTAATATGGGGTATGTACATGTATACAGTGTGTGTATACACATACATGCACATATATGCAGGTCTCTGTTCCTTAATATGAGTGTATGTACATGTATACAGTGTGTGTACACACACAGGTGTACACACACAGGTCTGTGTGCCTTAATATATTTGTGTACACATATACTATACACACATGTATACACACACAGACACACACACAGGTCTGCATATGTAACATCCACGATTCACTGTGGACATGATTTGGATGTTGTGGGAAATCAAGTGTGGGTCCACACTTGATTGGATTGTAGGCATTAACATGTAACCATGTTAGAACCGTCTGGGAGCCTGTTTCCATGAGTCCTTGTTGCTGCGGTGGGAGCTGTTAGCAGGCACTGATAGTGCTGATGGCTAGAGGCTGTTGTGGAAACTGAGCAAGAGGAAGTGAGCAGGGAGGTGTGGTCTGCACTCAGCCCCGCCCCAGGTTCTGGCCTCCTGAACAGAAGGAGTAGCCCGGGCCCTGCATTGCCTACTGCCCACTGAACACAGCTTGAGAGCCAATGCCCAGAGCCATGTCCTCTGCCTCACCTGCCTATTTTCCACCGAAGGTCTAGTGCTGCAAGAGGCTGGCTATGGGTCTTTAGAACCACTAGGGGGCGTAGAAGGAGCACTGCTTTCCTTCTTAAAGCATACACACAACCTTATGGGACCATTGATGTAGACACGATTGGACATTACCCAAATGGACGTGTTATGTGACACATGCCTGTTTAGATAAAGGGAGAGAGAAAAAGATAGAGTTCCCTCCTATGATTGTGGGGACCAGCAGGTCTAAAAGCCTTAGGTCAGGTGATAGATACGTTGGAACACTGGTGGGCGGTGGACTAGAAGTTGAGGTAGGATGTCTGTGGCACAGTCTTCAGGGGAGTCTAACCAGTGATAGATGTCACTTTCAGCTGATTGGATGAGGCACACCACATGATGGAAGGCACTGATTGTAAATCCAAGGGGGTTTCAAAAAGTCCGTGGAAGAGCAGGGCTGAAAGATAATGGGATGACTCCACTCCCTTTCTGAAGCCCCTTCAGCAACATCAGGCTAGAGTTTGACCAAACCACAGTTAGGACAAGTTGAAACACGATTGGCCTCAACTTCCATGAAACACACTCACCCTCACTGTCTTCGGTCAGAGGTTTGGGGCCTTTGCTTTGATGGGTGTGGAGAGACGTTAGGAAGGCAAAGACACTGATAGTGTTCTGAAAGGGTGAGGAAAAGTGGGTGAAAACCTACATTCCTGCAGTGGCTGGAGGTGGGATTCTCTTCTCAGATGCCTATCAAATGCTGAGCTCCCCGGACTTACTGTGAAGGTCCCCTGGGGCTGCCGGGCTTCCAGGCACTGGACGGGTGCTCTCTGTGCACACCTCCGTCCCCTCTTCACAGTGGCACAAGCAGACAGACACCAGTAAGGACACCTCAGCCTCAGTTTCTCTGGCCAGCACTGCACGTGAAGACCCCTCCAGGGGTCCTGGGGATCCCCACAGCCTGTCCTCTGAGGGGCTGGTGTTAAATCACACTATTCCTCTCTGGGGTGTCAGTGGTCCAACGGAGGGTCCAGGGGCCTCCACAGTCCCCGATGGTGGCTGGATGTGGAGAGTGAACAGGTATAGGCAGGCGTGCCCAGCCGTGTCCTGGTGGCTCCACACTTGATTGCTTGTAGGCATTAACTGAGCACAGCCCTTCCCTTCCTACCCCGGCGGAGGGGTTCTCTTTCAACCACTTCCTGGTGTTACAGGGCAGGGATCTGCAGGCTCCAAAGCAAGTGCTCACACCGGGTCCAACTGCTCCCTCTAGGCCAGACCCTGGCTTGCGGCCCATAGCTGCTCTCCTGGGGTGTGGGGGCAGCGTGCATGTCCTCAGACTCTGTTCACAATGCTTTTTGAGGTATGAGGAGGAGCTGGGGCGGCAAGGGCTGTGCACAGCTCTCTTCCTGCTGCATTCTGGCATGGAATCCCAGGAGTCCAAGCATTCAAAATGTGGGACTAGTCGTCCCTGGTAGGGAGTTGTGTTTGTCAGGACTAGTGGGCACGTGATAGTTAGTACCCAGGGCTGCCAGCCTGGGTACTACCTTCTCAGAGCTTGGAGTTGTGCTTGTGGCCTTCCAGCTACATTCTGGATCCTGAAAGTGTTAGAACAGGCCTGGTGGTGGCCCATCCAGCATGCTCTGGGGCAGCTTCCTGGGCACTGGAGGCTCGGTGGTGGGCAAGGATCCCTGGAGGAGGCTTCAGGGGAGAAGAAGGGCTGGGTGAGGCCTTGGGAGGGGAAGGATAGTGGACAAGGTGCAGGGGTGCTGGGCAGTGGTGAGGAACAGGATGGTGTGGGTGTGCTGAGACTTGGAGCCGGCAGCTGGGCAGTGTCCAGTTTAGCTAGTTTCAGGGACTGGAGGCCTCCCGTGACCTGGGACACACAGGGTCTCCCTGATTCACAGATGTATCTTGCTCTCAGTCTGTAGGAAGTTCCTGTTGGCCTGTCCGGAGGAGCGGGGGCGCCTTTGGGAGGTGGAGCCCCCAGGAGCCTGGGGCCAGCGAGTCAACATCTGGCTGAAGAACCAGCTTCTGCAGTGCCCACTCCCAGAAGGTGAGTAGGAGGGAGACGTGTGCTTCCGAAAGCCCCTGGATGGTGGCTGCTCACTGAAAGGCTGGAACTTCAGAAGAAAGGTGTGGACGTGGACTTCTGAGAGCCACTGGGGGCACTGTGGTGCGATGTGACACACACAGGGTTGGCGGGGGACTTCTGAGAGCCACTGGGGGTGCTGTGGTGCGCAGTTCCGATATGACACACACACGGGGTTGCCATGAGCCACCTCCAAGGCAGCGGGTGTTGCTGCGAGGACAGAGAAAGGACTATGGCTGGTGCAGGACGGCGTGCTCTCCAGGTCCCTCCTGAAGGAACCTCACCTATGATGCTTAGGAAGACCCCACCCCCAGTCCCACAATTAGGATGGGCAGAGGAAACAGGTAAGAGCATGCAGTTTTTGTAAGTCATGAAAACATGACTTTCAGCAGGTAGAATATGTTCAGAGGTTTAAGGTGATGACCAGTTCTCTCTGCTCCCGGGAGGGAACGACACGTGTGTCCCTGGCCCTCTGCATCCTGTGGCCTTTCTTCTTTCTCATGGCTGCGTTCTTGAGAGACACCAGGCTGCCCTCCAGGTGGGGCACTTCCGTGACGGAATGTCCATGAGCTAGTGGGCTCTGGATGTAGATCCCTGACGGAGGAAGGAGAGTGGGGAAGCCTCAGGGAGGTGGGGGTGGGAAGTCCCGCAGACAGCCGGAGGGAGCCCAGGGCACGAGGCACACTTGTCCTTGGGTTTTAGGGACCATTCCCAGTGTTCTTTCGGCTTCCTCCACATGGGTGGGATGTCTTCCTCTCTCAGCGCTCAGTTCCAGACCAGGGTGAGGCTGGGAGTCATGGAAGAGTCTCACACTTTCAGGAACTGTCCCGGGTCAAAGCGATGGCTCTCCCTCTTCCACCAGCGTGGCGTGCCATCGCTGCACTTGCGGGGGGGGCTCACTGGGGACCGAGGGGCAGGCCAGGTGTTGGGCTTTCTCACCACGTGGTGGTGACAGCGAGCATGTCTTAGAGCTTACGGGGCGGTAACAATGCTAAGTCTTACCTCTGTGGGAGCTCTCAGCTTGATGGATCTTTACAGATATTAATGGGGTGATCCAGCTCCCAGGAAGGGTGGCCCTACCGAGACTGCTGAGTGACTTTCCTGTGGCATTTTGAGCTGAAGTAAGGGAAGCTGTCCCAGGTGGCCCTGTTCCCCGGCTGGAAATGGAGGCGGGAAAGACCACCTGATAGAATGCGCAATGGCATAGTCTGGGGGTGGGGAGCAGGGCGAGGGGGTTCCCACATAGCTGGGAGATGGGGGTCTTGGAGGAGATTCCACTAGGGTTTGTTTCAAGAACTGTCTAGTCAGAGGAAATCAGATACAAGATCTGCCATTTCGACTTGCTCTGAAAAATTCCAAAATGAGGGCATGTGCTCACAGAATGTTCCAGAAGCATGTTTGAGTCTTTTGAAGGAAAAAGGGGCATTCTTACAATTAGGGTATAACTAAATTACTAAAACGTTCTAATTGTTTTGCTTTTAATTCTAAGTTCTGATGCCTACGGTAAAAATGCAGGGTCTTTTGTTCGAGCTGCAAATCCAAATGGAACACTTGCTTATTGGTAATAAAGGAAAATGTTATGACTTTCCATTTTACAGTTTACTTACAAAATCACATAAATTAGCCAGATCGACCCTTGTTTGGCTTGGCAATACCTAATGGAAAGCAGTTACAAATGCAGCGCTCACTGACACGGTGACTTTTTTATGGCGCACGAGGCTGAGAGTAAGGATGTGTCAGCTAGTGCTGCTGGAATTTTAGATTGTTCCCCCAAGTTCTGAAGCTGGGACTGCCAACTACCACCAGTGTTCTGCAGTTTCCCCGTTTCCTATGTTTGTCTGTGGAAATTATCAAGTTTTACCTGATTAGAAATTTCCCACAGGTCACCAAAAACTGCAGATTGTGGAACTTTCTTTTCCCTGGAGACATCACTGCTGTTGTCATTAGCTGCCCCTGGCTCGTGGAGGCCCCAGGCACACGTGACCCATAGGGTTTTCATTGGCTGGTGTTGGGAAGAAGTAGATAGCAGGACTCTCTTCCTAGTCTTTCCTGGTCTGGAAGTGTCACTGAGGTCTGTCCAGCATCATAGCCAACACAGGCCTCCACTGACAGGTGGGGACCTAGGAGCGGCACTGGCTGAGAACTCATCCCCTCGTGGGAAGGTGTACTGCCGCACTCACTAGGCCACCTGATTTCATTTTGTTTTTAATTCTTGGAGTTGCTGCACAGGCTTGCTCTGTGTGTAAAGGTCTACCTTGGTCCTTTAGTTTCTGCCTGTTGTCTTGGAGGGTGGCAACCATCTCTTGTCTGCAGGACGACAACAGTAAATAAGCCCAGAGGAGCAGATGACTTTTCATGGTCTAAGCTCAGGCTGGGCAACCCTAGAGCATTTAAAAGGCAAATTAGCCTGCTCTCCTTTCAAATGCTCTAAAACCATGTTTTAAGACAGTGTCATTTGTGGCCTAGGCCTTTTAAGGTTGGCCTGATCCTGGTTGTTGATCTATCTGTGCCGTATAATGACCCCAGAAGTATTTACAGGTTCTTCAGGCCATTTGTGAGAAGGAGTTTGTGGGAAACTTTCTTCCTACACTCAGATTCCTACAAAGTCTTTGAACACTAACCAATAGGATAATTCCATTTGATGTGGCTTCTGAGCCAGCTAGCACACCCTCTGAGTCTCTACTGAGGGAGATGAAGCTAGATATGCCAACAGTGAGACATTCTTTTATAAAATTGTTATTGGGCAGCAAATCATGGCACCCTACTTAAAAACAACAAAAAAGAATCCTGTATTTTTCTCATTCCCATAGGTCACAGTTAGGGTTTATTTTTGAGATTAAGACCAGGTGGGTTGTACACAGAGAAGTGAAGAACTGAGGCAGAGAGGTGGGATTATTTTTAAGAAGTCATATGCTTACCTGATAGCTTTCTAACCTTGCCTCACCTGTTCTGGTGGTTGCAGGACAAACGTTCCCTAAAGAGCCCAGAGCACACTCTCCATTGTTGTTGTGAAGGACAGTCTTCAATTCATAGCGACCTAGGATGGGGTTTCTGAGGAGTGGCTGGTGGATTTGAACCACCAATCTTGCCTTCTAATGCATTATCTTGCAGCTCCACACGCTACCTATACTGGCTGTGATTTTTGGTCTAATGTTGTTTTGTAAAGTTGGGGGCTCCCTCTAGTGGCCACTGTCATCTTCTGCAGGGCTGGATGATCGCTGGTGGGTGTTTACTTACCTTTGAGGTCCCAAGGTGCTTGGTTCTCAGACACTTATGCCCACACCTCCAAATTAGCTCATTTGTTTTTAAGGATTATTGACCCTTCATGGAGTAGGAATAAAATGCAGGTAAGTCTTGATAGATGTTAGCATGCATCAGTCCCTAAGCCATAAATATGTAATTACCCACAGCAGGGAGAGGGGGAAATGGATCATGGCGTTATCTACTGTGTTCCGCTCTCCCTTCCTTCATCTTCTAACTGCTACAGGAGCACCCTCTGTAAGGCAAGGGGTCTCTGAGCTCTCAGCCTTGTGCACCAGAAAAAGTCACCGTGTCATTGAGTGCTACCATGTGTTGGTATTTGTAACTGCTTACCATTAGATATTGCCAAGCCAAACAAGAGTCGGTCTGGCTAATTTATATGATTTTGCAATTAAACTGTAAAATGGAAATTCATACCATTTTTCTTTATTACCAATAAGCCAGCGTTCCATTTGTATTTGCAGCTCAAACGGAACACCCTGCATTTTTACCCTAGGCGTTGGAACATTCTGACCCCCACATGAACACACGCATGTGCAAATGTCTCCACCCTACATGCATTTTGGGGGCAGGATGGTCAGGAGCAGGGGAGGGCAGGAAAGAGATTCCTTTCCAAGGTGCTTGCTCATTGGGTGGGAGGGGAAGGGGCCTCTATTGCAACTACAACACCAGGGAGCAAAGAGGAGGGTCTAGAGCTGGAGCTTGAACGCCATTAAAGGGCAGGATGCTCAGATGAAGAGGTGAGACCTGAGCTTAGAAGCTCCTGTGAAAAAATGGGAGGAGGTTGTGGCAAATGTCATGGGACAGGAGGAGTTGGGTCTGGTGATTGCTACCTCGACCCTGCCCTCTGGGAACGCTGTTCTCTCATTAGCATCTAGCTGACTCAGACCATCCAGCTATGGAGAAGTCTGTGAGGTGAGGTGATGAACTGGTCACTCGTAGCTGCTGTTCTGTCTTAGTAATCATGCTGCCCTTCTTCAGAGTGGCGGGGGTCTAAAACGCATGTTCTTAAACAATCTATGGACAAATGCATGGAGCACTACTTTATGCTCCTAATGTCTGCCACCACAGAGTTCAAACTGTTCATGGTCGTCCGCTTGAAGCTAGATAAGAGGAAACCTCAAGGTTCACATCCTTGAGCACATTTTAAAAAATCTGAAATTCCAACTCTGCAGTAGGTTAGAGTCTCTAAAGCAGAACAGAAGTAAGATACATTTGCCTTCTGTCCCCTCCCTGACCCTTCAAGCTCAGCCTGCTGGACCATGGAGGGGACCTCAGGTTGTCTATTGGGGAAGGATGGTTCCTGAGGATTACCTTGTGATAAGATTCTGACATGGTGTGAAGCTATGAGCTTCTCTGAAGCCAAGCTGGAGAAAGCCCAGAATCCCATGGGCAGCTGCTTGTTAGGAGGCAGGCTGTTCAGGGATAGAAGGTTCAGCATCAGAGCTATGAATGTACCAGTCCATGCTGGCTGGTTTCAGAAAAGCTCCCTTGGGTGTCTGAGGAGCCCCTGGGCAGTGCAAATGGTCAACATGCTCTGCTGCTGACCAAAGGGTTGAAGATGCAAATCCACCCAGCGGTACCACAGAAGAAAAGTCTGGAAATCAATTTCAGGTCAATTAGCCATCGAAAACCCTGTGGTTTTTCAGTTCTACTCTGACACACACGGGCTTACGGACGTCAGAGCTGACTCAGTGGTAACTGGTGTTACTTGGTGTCTGAGCTTCGTCCTGTCCGTCTGGCAGAGGACAACATTCCTTTTTGTTGGCCCTGTTAGACCATTGGCCTTTGCTCCTTCCACGCCAGTGCCCATTGTAACATGAAACTCAGTGTGTCTAGAGGAAGGATGCATCAAAGGCTAACAGCACCGACTTAAAGTGGGGCTCCTGTACCCGGCTCTTTCGAGATCTCCCTTCAGAGTCATTAGCAAACATGTGCTGAGGGCATCTCTGCACACACGGTGGGTTCCCCAGGTGTGTGAACCTGGTTGACCTGCTTGGAACCTCAGTATGCCATGCAAGGACAGGCTGGGCATCCTCGGCTGTGGATTTCCTATGGTCTCATGTAATTAAAATGCTTTCTTGATTCTTATGACTTCAGGGGAGGATCCTGGGAGAACCGGAAGACATGAAGAATATCCAAGCTGGCCAGGCAAAGGAAGAGGATGGGCCCTTTGAGGCCATGGAGGCCAACCAGGGCCTGCTGGGTAGAGCCGTTGGGGAGACCAGTGCTGGGCTGGTACGGGGCGCATGGCACAAGCATGTGTGGTCCAGCTCCTAGTCCCCCAGGGACAGATCTGGGTGGTGTTGAGAGGCCTGCCCTGGACCTCTGTCCCCCCAGCCCCCCGCTTTGTGACTGTGAACCCCTCTGATGTCCTTGCTGTACCTTCTTTGTAGTCTGTGGGCACCACTGACCACACAGGCTCTGCCTACCTCCCAGGCTTATGTGCCCTCAGGTAAGAGGCTGTTCTCCTTAAGCACCAAGAGCTGTACAGGTGCACGTAATTATCATCCTGAGCTCAGTGGTGGCAGTTCCAACACATTTCAGAAGCGCCTTCATGAAGCCTCATGTCGTTTCCAGTACTTAGGGCAGAGCTGCAGAGTCTGCATGGGACTTCATGAATGTCTTTCTAAGTATCCCTCTCCTGTGCATTAGTCAGTGCCGAGAAGTGCCGTGCCTGCTTCACTGGGTGCCTTCGAAGGCCTTTTCAGGGCTGTGTAACTATGAGACGTTTCTGTGGAGACACTTCCCTTGACTGGGAAGCCCAGGCAGTCTGAGAGCTGGCCAGGAGCCCCCTGATGGCCGGGGCTGGGTGGAGGCCCCGTCTGTCTCATGCTCAGATCTGGCCAGGTGACAGGGGGTCCCCCAGTGCAGGCTGCAGGTTGGCTTTAGGGTCTCAGGAACCAGCTCACTTCCATAGGAGGTCACTGGGCTGGGGTCTGGGCTGCTGGTCTGTCTAGAATATTGGTGCCTGTGAGTAGAAAGGTTCATGCTAATAAATGTAACTAAAAACACAACTTGCTTTAAACGTGCCATTTGGTACCCATTTGTAAACACCTTCAGAGCCCTGTTCAGTGCTGCTCTAGGGTGCAGAACTGAAAAGACAAAGACCCCGCACTCCAGCCCCACTGTTGACAGGTGAGACTTTGCTTCCTTAGGGCTGAGGCAGAGCTTGGACGACTTTGTGTCGGTGCTTCTGAGCCAGCTCCCCTGAGAGCTGGGAGAATGGATGGATGGATAGGAGATGGATCAATGAGAAGACAAACACATGGGGAGATGGATGGGTAGAAGGGGGTGCATTTCTCTGTAACTGAGTCCAGAGTTGTGGGATGAATTGTGTCCCTAGAAGTACATGTCACCAAGCTGGGCCATGGTGCTCTGTGGTTTGGGGGTTATATGATTAGTGTGGCAGTTATGTGGTGATCCCATGATGTGATCTGGTGTGATAAGCCAATAAGGGTGGGCTGTAGTACCCTTGATCCATCACAGCCCTGGTCAGGCGTCGGAAGAGTTGCCCTGGGGGGTAGCCTGCAACACCTGCTATTTTACAAGAGATGAAAGTAGAGAAACTGTCAGAGATTCCAGGAGCCTGCTGCTACTTCAGCTCATGTGTGCCCATAACTTGGTTCTGATGCATGCTGACCCTGCACAGGGTTTCCAAGGCTCTGAGTCTTCACTGGAGCAGGAAGCCTCAGCTTTCTCCTGTAGAGTGGTTAGTGGATTCAAACTGCTCACCTTGCATTTAACAGCCGTTTGTGTAATCCACTACGCTATCAGAGCTCCTTTTGCCACCAAGAAAGTAGAGTCAGGAGTGGGGTGCATTCTCTGAACCTGTGATCTCTGGACAGAGACCCTCATAAGCCCAGGGAAGTTGTTGCCAAGACATGTGGCAATCTCCAGGGAATGCCAGGCCTGTAGAAGC